CACAAGATCTGTAGCTTGGCCCTTCTACTTTGCTAATGATGAACATGCAGCTGCAGGCACATAGACCGGGGTGGACAATCATTTTAGAGGGGGGAGCCACTTGACAAATTTTTGAAGTGGCCCCAGGCCACCCCAGAAGGGGCAGGGCCTCAGGTGGAAGGGGCGGGGCCAGGACACCTCCATGCTCCCCTCACCCACAAACCCTGATTGACCAGAGGGCGGGGCGGAGCACATGAAGTCTTTGCCCGCTGCCCCCCGGCACCTAGAGAGAACCACCAGCTGTTCGGAACAGCTGGTGGTTCGCTTTAGGCACTACATGCCCCTGGCAGCTGGGGGGGGGCACTCACCTGTTCCCAGATCTCGATTGGTCTGGGGCCAGGGGAGGGGCAGGGCGGCCGTGGGCTGGATCGACTCGCTTAGTGGGCCAGATCCGGCCTGCGGAGGCTCTTTTGCCTACCCTGGCAGGGCGGCCGTGGGCTGGATCGACTCGCTTAGTGGGCCAGATCCGGCCTGCGGAGGCTCTCTTGCCTACCCTGACGCAGACCCTTCTGCCCGACTTCAACAGGGCCCGCTCCGGGGGAGGCTGTGCTCGCATGTGCCCCAAAGCAGGAGCAGGCTCCGGATCGGGCTGGAAAGACCGTGCAAATTGCCGAAGGACGTGATCCTGCAAAACCCCAGTCCAGGTGAGGAATCCCTGCTTCCGGAATTAGTAGCGGACACCAGCAGGAGTCAGAGCTGGCATTATCGGGCCCCCTTTGCTGCCTGTCCTGAGCACACGTAGACTCCGAAGCCACCGGGCCACCTGTTTCTAAAGGAAACCTCATTGCCACAGGCATAAACCCGTCGCGTGGCCAGAGGTGAGCCACTGGGCAAAGCGAACACACAGGGTGAGGCACAGCCGGGAGTTAGCATAAAGCAAGGGAATAACGAACCCATCCGAGCAGCAGAGACGGGCACGAGGGAGAGGCCCAGCGACCGGCGGGGTCCAACGCCAGGAAGCCAGCGAAAGTGAAACCCCGCGGCGCCAGGCCCGGCCCTGCCGTCACTTCTCCGTCATCATCCGCACAAACTCCTCGTAGTTGACTTGCCCGTCGCCGTTGCGGTCGGCCTCTTGGATCATCTCATCCACCTCCTCGTCCGTCAGCTTCTCGCCCAGGTTGGTCATGACGTGCCGGAGCTCAGCCGCGCTGATGTAGCCGTTCTTGTCCTTGTCGAACACCCGGAAGGCTTCCCGGATCTCCTCCTCGCTGTCCGTGTCCCGCATCTTCCTCGCCATCATGGACAGGAACTCCGAGAAGTCAATGGTGCCGCTGCCGTCGGTGTCCAGCTCGCCGATCATGTTTTGCAGCTCGGCCTCGGTGGGGTTCTGCCCCAGCGACCGCATGACAGTCCCCAGCTCGCTGGTGGTGATGGACCCGTCCCCGTCCTTGTCAAAGAGCGAGAAGGCTTCTTTGAACTCCGCGATCTGCTCCTCCGTCAGCGACTCGGCCATGCCGGCGCCTTCCAAGCTGCCGTGTCGCACAACCGCCGGAGCGATACACGGTCGGTGTGCCTTGCTTCGGCACGTCTGACCAGCGCGTGGGCACGGGCAGGGAATGGCTTCTGGTGTGCGTTCAGCCTGAGTTGCGCACTGGAATGGCAGCTTCCACACCCTCTGCATCACCTGAGAGCCTGGAGCCGGCTTGCACGCCCCGGTGAAGGGAGAGGGAGGATCAAAGCTTGTGCTGCAGAAGTCAGAGGGAGGATCAAAGCTTGTGCTGGAAGCAGGAGCCATGGCAGCATTGCCTGCAGGGCACAAGAGGCGAAGAGCAGGGGCAGACGTATCTGCCGAGGGGTGGGTTCCCTCTGCCCCCCTTATATTCCCCCCCACAGACTTAGGGCTCAGATTTCTGCGGGACAACCCCCGCCTCCAGCTGTCTCTGTCATGTAACACCAGCCAGGAATTCATATTGGTTATCAAACCCAGGGCTACCCAGAACACAGCTGTGGTCTCAGAGCAGGGATGCTCCCTGCAGCAGCGGCTGTACCACGGTTAGGTGGTCCCTCTGCCCCCCTTATATTCCCCCCCACAGACTTAGGGCTCAGATTTCTGCGGGACAACCCCCGCCTCCAGCTGTCTCTGTCATGTAACACCAGCCAGGAATTCATATTGGTTATCAAACCCAGGGCTACCCAGAACACAGCTGTGGTCTCAGAGCAGGGATGCTCCCTGCAGCAGCGGCTGTACCACGGTTAGGTGGTAGGACTAGGCGTTAACAGAGCAGGGTCCTTCGCCTAGCTCGGTTGTGGCCTGGCTCGGGGAGCTGGGGCAAGTCACGGCGTGCCTCAGTTTCCCTGGCTCTGCTAGGGGATGATGATGGTCTACGCAGAATGCCGGTCTGTTTGCCTCCTACAATCACGGCTCTTGCGAGCCAGCGCCGGCTGCCAACGGGGCAGTGCCAGTTGGAGAGCGCGTTTGTACAGCTCCAAGCGCGGCAGGGCTCAGGTCACGGATTGTGGCTCCCGGGTGCTACCCCGATGCGAATTCAGAATAAATCTCCTGGGTGCGGGAACACGGAGATTTCAGAGCGTTAACGCCATGTAACTTTCTCAGGCTGGCATGTTCTCGCTGCGGACGATGAGCTGGCTGGAAGGGAAATCTGCTTGGGGCTTTTATGACGTATGTTTTAAAATCTTGAGAAGGGATCCTGGCCAGACGTGATGAGTCTTGTTTCAGTGAAACCAGCTGCGGAGGGGAGGAGGGGGAGCTGCGGAGGTGCAAACCCTGGGATACTAACAAGAGGAATTGACAGGAGGGGGCTGGAAACCCACACGCCCAGCTCCCTCATGCTGTGCAGCTGGGTTTCCAAGGACCCCATGATGTGAGGGTAGACAGCTGTGAATCTCTGCTGTGATTTCTCTTCTGCCAAAGGGTCAGATTCTCATTGGGCCCAGACCCCTTGCCCCTGTCAGAGGTGCAAAAGGGGTGTGAATGAGAACGGGAAGGAGACCCCTCGGATTTCAGATGAATCCGACCCAACTCAGTGGGGACGTGTTGTAAGGGCAATAAACGGCAGGAGCGTGGGACTAATTAGCTCACAATCATTCTGTTAAAGTTCCTGAGGAGGAGGAGGAGGAGGAGGAGAACTAATCTAAAACCCAACTGAGGCAGGGAAACTGAGGCCCTGAGCTGCGGCTTGAGTTGCCCAAGTTCACAACTAACTTGTGTTCACTGCTAACTTCAGTTCCACCTCCTAAGCTGCTAACGACTGTAATTCCAGGACTGGTCTAAAGGCACAGTTAGAGTCTTTTCATGGGTAGCAGCTTTAAAACCAACGAAAGGAAATCTTTCTTTATAGAACACATAGTCAACCTGCGGAACTCCTTGCCGAAGGATGTTGTGAAGACCGGGACTTGAACAGTTAGATTGATGGCGGCTCAGCCCATCAATACTTATTAACAAGGATGGGTAGGAATAGTGTCCCTAGCTTCTGTCAGATGATGCGGATGGGCGACAGGAGCTGGATCACTTGATGGTTCCCTGTTCTGTTCATTCCCTCTGGGGCATGTGGCATTGGCCACGGTCGGCAGACAATACGCCGCACTAGGATGGACCTTTAGTCTCACCCAGTGTGGCGGTTCTGAAGTTCTTATGTTCTCCAGTCTTCCTGCAAGGGCACCTCATGGCGCTGCACATCCCAGGCCACAAGCCTGCCCCTGGAATTGTCTTGACTCAACCAGGCTTGACTTTGAGGGAGCTCTGTGGGAGGCACC